CCCCAAAACCCCAAAACCCCAAAACCCCAAAACCCCAAGGGCTAATAAGTTATAACAAAATACTTAAATTCAAAAATGCTAAAAATGAGGCATAATCTGATTTATATTATTTTGATTCAACATCATCTTATAAATCATACTTAGGCATTTGATTGCAAAGACATTATAACTAAAATTAAAAAGAGCCAAATAACTTACAATTAGATAAAGTAATCCGGCATAGTATTTACAGATGCGGATTTCAACTCTCAAAATGCTATTGAATGGAGTGATTTGACTTCTGGTGCTTAATTGACAAGCAATTAAGTTGCTGTTTGGAAAAGAGCTTCTACTATTCTGCCTAATTCGATACTATATGATATGAGTTTTTCGCCCTCAGATGTGTTTCAAGGAGAAATAAAAAACAACCTTTTCATTGCATTAATAGGTTCATTAGCTTAATAAAATAAACTTAATGATATAATTGCTACAAATCAATTAAATCCAGAGAGATATTTCGGAGTATATTTTTATGTCTAAGGCTAGCGAAAAATGATCATAGTTGATGATTACTTACCAACATTAAATGATTAAATGATATATGCCAAGCAAGGCAAGAATTAGTAGATTTGGGTACCATTATTAGAAAAAGCTTGGGCTAAGTTCAATGGCAATTATGAATTCATGGAATAGGCTGATAACAATATCAATCAGCTATTTTAGTCTATTTTAAACAATAATGCAACAATATTTAGAAAAACAGATCCTAATTCAATAAATAGCGATGTCGTTAAACTTAGAATTATGTTGTAAAATTATCTCGACAATTAGATACCATTTATTATTAAAACTGCTTAAAATACAAACAATGATGGCTTGATTATAAATCAATATGGAATACCTTATGACTCGTATAATAATGTAATCTCAATACACTAAATACTTGATGTTGATGGTAACATACAATCAAATATATTAAGACTTAGAGATACTTGTGGTGATGACTCTTTGAATTCAGGTCCATTTCATGATAATGACTTGAATAATTGGACACCTGAAATCTAAGTCTAAGTTCCTTATGTGAATGATTTGACTGATGGTTATTTCTTTATTTTGGATACATTGTTATTAGAAATATTAGACTCAGTTATTGCTCCAACAACAATACACTAAAATTTTAGACAGTCAAGACTTGACATATTGAATGATGATTCAACTTATAAGACTATAAACATAGAAATACCTCAATCTAATTTAGAGATATCTATTGGTACTCTAAAATATGCTAAGTATTTGTATCCACCAAGTGATTAATGCAGAAATACCTCATAAAGAGAAACTGGTATTATGAAATTGTTTAAAGGAGATACATTAATAGATTGGAAGAAAACTAGTAGCCTTAATGAGTATGATTATATGTACTTTAACAAAGTGCTTGCGTAAGGAAGTTACTAACTATGGGTAAAGATGAAATGGTTTGATACTGAAGTCAAAGATTACACGATCTACATTAATACGACAACTGATGTTCTAATTGCTTAGGTGGCATACTCAAATGTCACCAAATAGAGAGAAGATTTAATGAATAAATAATTCAAAGCTTTAGAGAATCTAAATTTCTAAACACCTAACAAGTTATCATATAAGAGAACTCTATTTCAATTCAATCAAACAAGTTTCCTAGATGATGGATTCTACTATCACTTGTTTGACAATATACTTAAATTCAGAGCTGATTATAACTTTACATTCTAAGCAAGCGGCCTTCTGATGTTAAGTCAAATACCAGATTAATGCCAAATATAAAATGCTTACTCTGAGACTGGGTAAAACACTTACCTATGCCAGTGTAAAATTCGACCAAAACTAAACCTCTCTTCTTGCTTGTACTTCTTTAGCATGAGGGAAAATGAAATCAGTTCATTTAAGCCAACCTTTTTGTATAAATACAAACCAAATTGATTTATTTTTGTTTAAAATAAGCTTAATTTCATAAATATCACAGTTCAATATCATTTGATAATTAAATTAATAATCATTTGTTGTAAGATAGTCTAAGTTTATTGCTACTTTCATTCATATAATGTCTATCTAGACTGTATTCCAGCTCCTCTCCTTCTTCCTCAGCTACATGTATATTATTGTTTTAATTGTATTAGTTTTGATCCTCTAGTCTAATATCCTTAAGTTCTATTTACTCATAATCATCCTCACTAAATCTCTCTAGCTCTAATTAAATAATTAACGCTATTTTATTTACCATTTTTGGTCTACTCAATACTTGGGTAAGTATAAATTGCCACAATTAGAACATAGAGATTAGTGAACCCTCTGTAAAATAGATATAATTGACTTATAAAAGTTAAAGACATTTCCTATGGTCTAACCAAACTTATATTTCAAAAGATATCGATTTAATTATAAAGCATCTAGCTTCCCATTATAAATCCAAGAATAAAGACAGTAAAACTAAGTATTTAAATAAACAATATGAAAAGCTATCTTCGATGTATAGTTTGAGTTCTCTGCACTTTTAATATGAATAGTCCAGATATCATTAATATAACTAAAGCAGTCATTACTATGAATGTTATTCCAATTCCTCTGCTTATTTTGGAATGAGCATCTTTTACTAAAAACTAGTACGAGGGATTGGCATCAAACTCTTTCAAATTTATAACATAAAATGTGAACATGAACCCACCATATATCTAAAAAGTATAAGCATTAAAACTTACTATGTAAAAGCAGAGTGTGAACAATCGCTTATTAGGCATATAGAATCTAGCTCTTAAATCCAAAGGCTTGTCATTATGAATTAAATTGTCTTGAAATGTATAGAGGAAGATAGACATGAAGAGGCTCACGTAAAATTAACTCAGGATACTCCAAATAAATGAATCAGTTTTAGTAATGCATAGTATGGCAAATGGATCATTGAAAAATACCAATGCAATTGCTAAAGCAAAAGTACCTTTTTATTCAAGAGTTAACTTTTAAGATAAAGATCGAAGTCTATATAATCCAATCGAGTAGCTGATTAATATTCCTACTGATATTAATAGAAAAGTATATTTATTGATCAGTAAGTATTTAGTGAATTCTTCATTAATATATGAAACCTAGAATTCTATCATTCCCGTATCTCTTAGAGCATTTTGGTTGATCTCAACAATCTCAATACTGATGTCATAGTACTTATAGACTAAATTAGTGAACGTAACTAGATAAATATCATCACAGGCTATTTGAAACACACTGCAAGAAACCATTACATCGATATACTGAGTCTTAACATCAGAGAGATTTCCCTCATCATCCTCGATCTCATTTCTTCCATAGATCATAACTAAGATTCTAGTTTCAAATTGCCATTCTATAAGTCAATTAAGGATAAGATAAATTATTTCTTTACTTGTGTGAGTCTTGTAAAAATTAGGGTAAAACTGTGCACTTATTGTCATGGCTTAATTCCAAATAGTTAAATTAGAGATTTGCTTCCTCCAAGTTAGTGATTACCTCTCCACATGATTTGTATAGGGATTCTTGATATCTTCCAGCAGAATATACTTGCAGCCTTACTCTATTAATGATTAGCAGTATTATATTACATTCATTGCACCCTATCTATCCATTATTGAATGACTTGAAAACCTCAGGACCTAAAGTTAGAGATTGATTGAAATTAAATAAATTAGATGACTTACAATAGCTACTCATCATTATCAATAGGATTAGTGTCCCCAAAATCAATGTGTTTAGACCTAATAATTTAGTTATCGGCAATGTCTCAACAATATAGTGATGAATCCTAATCTATCAAATCGATGCTAATATTTACAGGGGTATTTTTGTAACCATGTTGGGCTAATGTAATAAAATTTGTAATAAAACTTTGTGTTTGATTTTAAACTTTAAATCACTTTAAACATGAAATGTATATTAGTAATTAATATAATATATAATTAGGATTATAATAAAAATGTTGGCTAACAAGAGCAGTTCAACCCTATACAAGACCGTAATGATGGCTCAGACTCAAATGAGATTCTTCGGTGTCCTCCCCAAACTCCCCAAGGTTGAACTCACCATGAGAACTCCATACAGAACCTTCTTTGATAGCTTTAACCAATTCACTAGAATCTACGTTCATACTCAAAAAGGTCTCATCGCTATCGGCAATAGATCTATTCCCAGAATCTATCTTCTCCCACCAGGTGAGCTCACCGTCAAGAACATTCAATCAGGTATGTTAAATAAATCATCATCCACTCAATTATTATGATTTCCAATTTGAAAGAGTTGAATAATGATTTATAGGTGATGGAAACTTCTCCAAGTCAGATTCAGGTTTGTTCATTCACACTGGTGGTTGGTTATTCGTTCACGAGTATGCATATATTCAACTAATTAATATTTCTCTTTAGCAACAACTCAATTGAAGTAAATCTCCTAGAGTGCACTGAGAAGGAGAACTTCGCTTTTGAAAAGCTCGACAATACTCAAAGTTAGGAGACTGAGACCAACGCTGGAAGAATTGCTGCATCCCTTCAAGATAAGACTGTCAAGCTTCTCCAAAGAAGACGTTGAACAACACACACTGCTCTTCGCAGACGCTTTCTAATCGTGCGTAGCTTGTATATGCACTATTCATAATTTAAACCTAACATTTCCTTAAATTAAACGCACACTAATATTTCTTAAATCATGAGCTATTGCTAAAAATTATGCATTCTTATGCTGCTAAATTCATTTTAGATTTCATTTGCTACAGTATCGATTTTCAAAATTTAATTACCCTGGGGTTTTGGGGTTTTGGGGTTTCAAAGATTGGAAATAAACAGCAAGA